TTGGATCCCAGGTCCACACTTTCCTAGCTGCATGACCCTGAGGCAAGTGACAACCTCTCTGGGCCCCGATCTCCTCATCTGTTGAAGGGGGATGGTAACGATTCCACACCATCGAGTCATGGTGCAGATTAAATGACCCGAAGGTGGAGAATTAGCACACTGGCCACGGCAATAGCAGATGCACAGTTAATGCTGGCCCCCTGCGCATTATTGCTACTCACTGTTCACGTCGTACCTACCACCCTCCGCGGCCTCTCTTCTCTTTAAGTCAGTGGCTTTAATAGCTGGGACTGGCCCCAGCCAGGAAGGACACCGGGGTGGGCGATACTTAGCCCATGGGAAGGAATGGCTACTCTTGGACTTTCGGGCAGCCCTACAGGCACTATTTGGGCAGGCGATGTCCCCAGCTGCTCAAAGTCCCCCGTGGGCCCTGCCCACTGCAGCCCCGAATGCCGGCCTGGTGCTCACCTGCTGGGCAGGGCCTCTGGATGGGACATTTCCGTGACTCGGACAGCACCTGGCAGGTGTCTGCCTCGTCCCTCCCGGCCCGGCCGGCCTCCCGCACCCGGGTCTCCAGGCCCCAGGCCGAGCCACAGGTCTTCCCGTTGTGCATGCAGGGGCTCCAGCTGCCCCAGGGGCCCAGCTCACATTCTTCTGCTGGGTGGAGACAGACAGACAGACAGACAGATAGACAGTTCTGGTCAGCTGGCAGTGAGTGTCCTTCAGATCCAAGGGCAGGGTCTGAGGGGTCCCGTTCCCCGAACACCGTCTCCACATGCAAGGGGTTTGCAAGCTCTCACAAGGAGCAGAGGGGAGACACTTAAATATCTATTTATGAGAGCCCGGGATGGGCGCTAGACTAAAGCATGCCCAGGCCAGATGCGGCGGGGGGAAGAGGGTGGGGGGTGACCACTGGCTTTAGAGGGGAAGACTTCCCCCAGGAGATGACAGAGGGGCTAAAGGGAGAGGAGGTGATCCAGTGGGACCGGAAGGAAGCACC